TGTGTGTTGTGAATGTGTTTTGAGAGATTACATTTTTGTTAACCCCGTGTTGTCTTGTATGGTGTTTGTTTGTTTGTTTGATTTCTTATTTATTTCAATGAAATAACGGAAATCACATTCCATATCTGATATTAATCGGTTTGAAAACACACATAAAGAGCGAACAACGATGATGATGATGATCTTTTATTTGATCCGATTGTAATGATTTTTTTTTCTTATTAATTTTCTCTGTAATGAAAGCGAATGTTTAAGGAGAAAGAAAAAATAATTTATCAGAGGTCAATCAGGGGTCAATTGAAAAAATTTCCTTCTTTCAAAAATTCCATCATATATATTGACTGTATATATAGAAAAAGCATTAAGAGTTTTTGGGTTTTTTCAAAGAAAAAATCTATCAAATTATCACCAAGTAATAAAAAAAAAGTGTGTGTGACGTTTAGAAAATGATAAGCGCGAACATACACATATCTGTTTTCTGTTGGTCTTTTTTTTCACATTTGAATGAATACGAAAAAAAAATGATTGAAATTCTTTGAATATCCGTTTTTCTTTTCTTTTTTTTCTGTCAGCCATATATTTTTATCGATAATGATTTCATATGAATTTAGATGTGTGTGAGAAAAAAAATACTTTTTTTCTCTGTTTTTGAAATTTTTCATTTTCAGAATTGAGCGATTGATCGGATGTAGTTTTAAAATGTAATAAATCGTTGGTCATTTATTCTTGATGATGATGATGATGATGATGATNATTTTTAGTAAAACTTTTCACGTATAATATTAATATATTGATGATTTGCATATAAATAATGTAAAATATGTAGTGAAGAGAGAACAGAATGATTCAATTACCTTGTTTATTTTCTGTTTTGTGTTTTGTTTTTGAAAAAAAACAAAATGAATGTTTTAGCAACATTATTTATTTGATGTTTGAAAATTGTTCTGTTCGTTGTTCTGTATTCTGTATTCTGCATTCTGTATTCTGCATTCTGCAATTCATTCCAATTTTTTTCTGTACTGGTTTGGTTGATTGGTTGACAGGGACATTTATCTAAATAACATTAACATTTTTTTTCATTTTTTTCCGTTGCTAAATACATCAATCCAGAGCGATAGAAAGCAAAGGAATATTCAGAGAATTCAGATGTGTGGAGGTCATTTAATTGTGGCCAGAAAAATACCCGAATTTAATTGTATCAAAAATTGTGCAAGTGACACACACACAAAAGGAAAAATATTTTCCATAAAATTCCATTTGTAATTTACTACAAAAGTTTGTTGTTATGCTCAAATCAGTTTAATTTAATTTTTCTGGAATTTTTTTTAAAATTTTCTTCAAAGAAAAAAAAAATTCAAAAAAAAAAAAATTTCCCGCAACGATTTGAACGCCATCTTTTACCCATAATTGATGATGATTTTAAAATTTTTTTCGTCCTCGTTTTCAGAATCCCATAAAGGCCAATATTTTGATTGTTTTTTTCCAACAAAAAAAAACATCATTTTGTCCAGAATTATGTCAAACATATCAAACGACGATGATGAAATTATAAATTCACGAAAAAACAAACAAACCCAAAACAAAACAAACCCGAAACAAGAATGACATTTTATTTCAAATGAAAATTGTCATTTTTTTTCTTCTTTGAAATCAAATTTCCATTTCCATTCAAAAATAAAAAAAAAAACATTATCATTTTTTTTTGTCTTTTCATTTTATTCAATTTTTGTTTTTTTTTGTCTTTTTTCTTTTCCCAAAAATTCCCTTTCCTTGTTTTAGATGATGGTGATGAAGTTACGTTAATGTATGCCAAGCTTGAGGTATGTAACAATGATGAAAATGATATTTTCCTTGCTTCCTTGTGAAGAAACCTTCCTCGAAGAAACAAAAACCGAAATATCCTCAATTCTCAATTCTCATGATTTATTTATAAAAACAAAAAACAAGAATCACTGAAAAAATGACTGCATTGTCTGATGATTATTTGTGACATATCCTATCATCATCATTATCAAATAAAAAAAATTCTCATTGAATTCACAATATATAGATCGAATGATAGATAGACATTCAATGTCTAATAATTGTCTATTGATCCATGATCATTTTCCATCTTTTTTTCCATCTTTTTTTTTTTCGTTTCGTTTTCTGCTTGTATTATTACGATGTGATTGAGCAAAATGAAAAACAACAAAAAATTCAATCTATTTTTTTACTCATTAGAGATTCGTTTATATGAAAAGAATATCTTTTCCCATTTGAAAAACAATCGAAACACAACAGAAGCAAAAAAAAAAGAAAAAATGTCGTATCGAAAATGAAATGAAACTTATTTCTATCATCATCATATCAAGATTTTTATTATCAAAATAAGATCAAGTGGATCATCATAAAACAAGCCAAGTAAGAGAAAGAAGAAAAAAGCATTCCACAATTCAGCATCTAGAAATTATCATTATCATCATCAAAGGAAAAACTCCGACAAAAAAAATGTCGAAAACAAAAAAAAAATCTTTTTCATTAACCGAAGAATAAATCATAGTGTTATTAATGGTATTATATAAAAAAAACATCAACAAACAAACAATGACAATAACGTAATGATAATGTTAATTACGTTTTTGTTCGTTTGTTTGTTCGTTCGTCGTCGACGACAAGTGCCTGACATCATTTTAATTAGATGCTTTTCGTTTTTGTTTTTGTTTATCTAATATTGTTGAATCAAAAATACCGAAATATCCCAAAAGTGATTCAAAAAAAATGTCAAAACTGCCAAAATTTGATCCAAGATGGCGATATTGAAGTGTGTGTGTGTTTAGAGATTTTTGTTTTGTTTTTTTAACCCTCCACTTGTTTAATTCATTTTTTTTTGAACATGAAAATTGTAGCAAACTTTTGACACACGTCAATGAATAAAGAATTTTTTTTTCGTTTGGTTGTCGTTTTTAAGAAATGTTTGAACCAAAAAAAAAAACAACAATGATAGAAACAACTAACGAACAAACTAAAAAAAAGAATTTTGGAAAAGAAAAACTTTTCTCATATTGAATTCAATACAAAAATTCTATATATAAAGGAATGTTGCTGCTGAAGAATTTCCGGTATAATCTACATTTTTTTTATTTTTTTATCGATCAATAAAAGAAAACGAGTGTAACAAAAGCAGCACAGAAATCATAACAGTTCACTGATGATTGATGCAAACAAATTTTGTTGTTTTTTTTTGCTTTGCTTTCCCGTTCCATTCTGTACAATATTCGGATTGAGCATGAAAACCAATGGGAAAGAAACCAAAGCAGAAACAAAAAAATTTAAAATTCTAAATAAAAAAAAATTTGAAAATCAAAAATCAAAACATATGAATGAATGACTGTCATTCGTTTGTTCGTGTGTGTGTGTGTGTTTTGATACAATAATCCATAAATAATATTTATTTCGGCAACCGAGAAAACCAGAGAGAAAAAAAAACAAAGCAATTTTTATGACATTTCTCGTTTTTTTCATCACCATCATTATCTTGATAGTGATGAATTTCAACTAAAAAAACGGCGAAAAAACGACGACAAAACGACGAAAAACTGAAAGAATTTCTAATTACATACGATTTCTGATTGCTTATGAATAAACATTTTTGTTTGATGGTGGAATCATCAAACAAATACGAAAACATCAATGATGATGATAATAATCATTGTTGACATTCATTATTATTAGGTGTTTTGCGTCATTGATGCGTGTGTGAATAAAAAAAATGTTAAAAGTCAATGTTTTTATATATATATTCCATAATAATAATGATCCAAATAAGCGACAATAAAAATGTTTTGTTGTTGAAATGATGAAAATAAAGAATGTCAAAAAAAAAACGTTAAAATAAGCAAAAGTATCATCAATTTGATATTAGTAACAATCACAATAGTAACAAACAACAACAACATCAAAAAGTTGAATGTTGAAACAACCAACAAAAGAAATTGATGAATGAATTTGAAATGTGTATGTGTGTGTAATGAATGGAAATTGAATTCGAAATGAATAAATGGGAAAAGTGAAAAGAATCGAAAGCAATTGCTACAGAATTCTTGCAATTGCTTGCAATTTTTTTTCTCCTTTTCAATTTCTCAATATACCTCTTTTTTTCTGATGACTAACTTTTCTCTCTCTCTCTCTCTCTCTCTCTCTCTCTCTCTCTCTCTTGCAAGCAACTTTTTTTTATTTATTTCCTTTCCTTTTCTTTTGGGTAAGGATGTTTCCGATGTGAGAAATGAAAAACAAAGAAGCAATGGTAGCAACAAAAAAGCACTGGAAGAATAATTTGAAAAAGGAAAACAAAACAAACAGAATCCACAGAATCATCATCAATGATGATGACAAAAACATTTATCTTAATATATATATTGAATCGATTTTAAATAATACAATAGATTTGTTTTCATTTGCCCTGTTGCCTTGTTGTTGTTGTGATTCATAAATACAATGTTAAATAACTTAATTCATTGATAATAATATTGAACAACAATCATATCCACCAGAGAATAACTATAATAATCTAGATAAATTAGATGAGAGAATGACCTCGATCATTGATCGATTGATCGATTGAATGGGTTGGCTGTTATTGTTGTTATTGTTATTGTTGTTGTCTTTTTGTTATTTGCATCAATTCATTTCATTTTTTCCCCCATTTTTCGTATTGTTCTTATAGAAAAGTTTCACTATATTAATGATATTCTCTTGATATGTTCTTGATATTTTTTATTATGATAAACATGTGTGTGTGTGGTGGTGGATAAACTTTAACATTATATATAAGATTTCTCTCTCTCTCTCCTCGTTTGTTTGTTTGTTTGTGTGTGTATCAAATATTCTTTCATTCTCATTAGTTTTTTTTTCTTCATTGGTCGGGAACAAAAAGATATTGATTTATATACATGTTATTGAATATATGAAACTTTCACTTTACTATATTAGATTCACCATTCACACACATATATAATACTGTTGAGATATTTTTGTTTTCGATGTCAATGTTTTTATTATTATTGTTGTTGTTGTTGTCAATGAATCCAATGGGAACAAAAAAAAGTTTTTATTGTTTTTTTTCATCATCATTGATTTGTGCCGGTAAACATATGTATTGTTTTTCTTTTTTTGGATGGATAGATAAACAAACGAAAAATCTTTGATCATCATCATCAATGGATTAACAACATATCTAAATAACTTTTTCGTTGACTATATATATATTTTCAATATTAACAAACCATAATGAGACTACATACACACACACACACTATTGTTTAATATCATCATTTGATGACATCCTAACCAAACCAAACAAACAACAAAACAAAAAAAGCTTATTGAAATAAACAAATTACTATTGGATCAATGAACAAAACTACTACTACTACTACTACTATAATTTTTACTATTACTGATTGGAATCATGAACTGATTCATAAAATGAAATGAAATGAAATGAAATGGATGGATGAATGAAACAAAAAACAAAAACAAAAACAAAAAACAAAGAAGAAAAAGAAAGATTATGGAAATAACAGAAGAAAATATATAATGTCAATAGGCCAACATCATCAACATCATCATCAAGAATACCCAAACACAGAGAATCAACTTATTATTATTTTTTTTGAGACCATTATCTTACCCAGTTTGCTTGCTTCGTTTTTTTTCTTTTTCTCTCGATAAATAAATGAATGAA